TCCGTAATGAATAAGCGGTTAAAATCATGACAGTGGATCCTGAGACACACGGACTTCTGAATGTACTGTTTTTTTTTTTACCATGTTGAAGCAGGTTTTTACCAGATAAGATTGTTATAAATGTCTTTTCTTTGATTTAGATAAGATACATCATTAAACATTCTCACTGAAACGTCGTCGTGTGTTTAGTCAAGGCCGTTTCTGATAAGATTCAGAAACTCCTCCTCAGCGGAAACTATGCCTCTGATAAACAATGTACCCACAATCCTCTGGGAACAGAGTGAATTATTTTAGCTGGAGAATCTCAACTCTGCCAGAGTGAGATTAGTCCGGCCTGCGTTTTGAGATTTATACCCAGATTAAGGTCCTGTATCATGTCAAAACCGATAGTTTGGGTTGAGTGAGTCTGGAGGGAGGATTATCGTCATTTTTGTGCTTTGGCACAATGCACCACTTCTGAAGCTTAATTATACACTGCTGTGGAGTGAGTTTACGCCAACATGTGGATGAGTCGTAAAAGACATGAGAGATATGAGATGTGCTGGATGGAAGCATCGATGGTGGTGTTTGGATTAAACAGGCTCAGGGAGAGATACAAGCAGTAAGGTGAAATTAGTTCTGCAGATGGCTGATGGGAAAAATCCTTTACAAAAATTGTAGAACATCTTTCCCCTTGAGGTGTGACAGCTTTAATTAAAAACACTTTGTACAGAAAATATACACATAAAAATATACAGGGATGACTTTTCATGAAGTCATGACGTAAACCAACAAAAATATGAACACAAAAAGGAGAGAGAGAGAGAGAGAGAGAGAATGACATGGACGTATGATACATCGCTTTGGTCTGATCACAGTGGCTACACTTGAGATAGACACATTGTCAGAACAATGTTTTATACTGTTTAATGTTTTACATATTTACACAGAAAGCACTTATGAAACTTAATATCAGAAATGTGGCAAAACAAAAGCAGGTGTGTTTGAATAAATGCATCAACTGGACATTTGAACTCACAGGTTAGCCTAGCTGTTACCAAGCTAAACTATAGGAGCAGATGTCCAGACTGTGCTTTTTTTAAAAAAAAATTGCTCAAAATATCATTACAAATGCTACGCTTTTTTTTAAAGGAAGCTCAAAATATCATTACAAATGCTACGCCTGTTATATTAACCACTTTCTTACTAGAAACTACTGTAGGTGTATAGTATTACAGTCCTAATGATGGTAGAGAACGGGCTCCAGTTGCCATTAGGACCAATCAGTGAGAAATACACAGAACAAGACTGTATTACAAGCCAATATGTTAAGTTGTCAAAATGTTGGTTCATGTTTCACGCTGCAGCCTACAATGGTGTAAACAGAGGAACTAATCCATGTTGCATTGCACTTGTAACAACATTTTGAGCACTTACGATATAGGAGGCGAAAGGCAAAATCCAATAGTCTACCACTTGATGTTAGGCTAGTATTATTGAGGGTGTGCTCACAAACAATAGGATAACTTAATAATAAAAAAAATGTGACCTATATTTCCCATTTTCCTACTAACAGTATTTTCTCAAACGATGGCACATCCTGTTGAAAACAGCAGAACTTTTCTTACAACCTGTTCCACTGCTGCAGCTACGGTGGGTAGAAATGAAGTGTTGACAAAGATAAAACAGTAAAACAAAACCTAATTAAACCGATCAAAGTCACCCCCTATGACTTGGTGACAGTTGTATGAACAGTGCAGACTTTTAATATTGTAAAATAACACCTAAACCATAGCGTCATGCAAAAACAAGCTGTTCAAACCCTGTTTAAAAGGAGTTTGATTGAGTTTCCCAGCACAGCAGACGTAACACTTTAATGGTCTAATCTTGAACCTCCACGATGTCTAGTCTCATGCATTTATGACGATATAATGTGCACCCGTGAAGACATGGATTTGTGTGACGAGTAAAGAAAAAAAAAAGAAGAAAATCCTATAAAAACTAAGCCAAAAACCAAAGTCACCATCTGCAAACTGTGGTCTTCAGACAGTCTGTGTTTGCGTCCCACAGATTAAATCATGTAAACAGATTTTCATGCGTGACAGTATTACTGTAGGTGCACTCTGTCTCTGCTGCTAAAATATCTGCATGTGATATAGATTCATATATATGTCTTTATACTTTGCATATTAAACCCACACTTAAACCAGTACTACGACAAAATATCTCCAGTTACTATATATATTTATATATATATATTTATAAAAATATACAATATCTCCTTCAATTTATAGATTTTTCCATTTAACTATAATTCTGCGACTCTTACAATAAAATAAAGGTTTTCAATCCACTGGCCCTCCACACTTTTTTTTTTTTCCCCCACTGCGGCTGTGAGAAAACAAAGGGACCCACATCCTCCTCATCAGGTTATATTTAGGTCTCTAACGGCCGACCTACCTCGAGGACATTCAGTGCTGGAGCTACTGCATCTGCAGATTTTCATCACAATGTGATCTGAGCTTCTGGCTGAAATGCGATCTAACGGAGTCATGCAGACATGCCACTCTCTCCTCTCTCCTCTCCCTCTCTCCACCTGTGTATCAATCACAGAAGATTATCGTCGAGGGCAGACGAGGAAGACGGAGATAACTGGTGTTGTACGGCTGCTAGAAGCCAAACGAAGAGTAGTGTAGTGTAAACTGTGAACAGGCTGAATCTGAATCACTGATGTGATCGACAGATCAAACAATATGCTCTATTTTTCAGTTTCCTGATGTGGATCACTGAGGTTCTTTTCAGTAATTAAACGAAGAGACACAGGTGGAAGTGGAGGAAGACAGAAGACAAAAGAGAATTTTTACAGCTTCCCGGTGCCGATGCCTGCTTCCTGAAACGTAAATGTTTATGACAGAGTCCACACATTGGGTGAGGGCAGCAGGAAGCCCCCGTTGGTGGTCTAGAAAACACCAGCAGCTTTCACACGAAGCCTTTCCTTAAAATAAGTTGCATCATTCCTTTATGAAATGTCAATGTAAACCAGAAGAGAATGGAAAACCTGGCTAGTTGAGTTGTGGATTTTAACACCAAAAATGTTGGCGAAAAAGTGTAAAAAATCTAAATAACAGCTCTTCTTTAAAGAGCTGATTTTGATGACACTTCACACAGCATGTCTGTGAAGTAGTAACAGTCGCAATAATTATTACTTAATACTCAAAAAAAAAAAGCAGCCAATTGAACACTATAGAACCTGCTAATTAAATAGTGGCCTGGGGGCCAGATGTGGCCCAGAAGCACACTCAGAGAGGCCCAATCTGTGGAGAGGTTGAATTTGTTTTTGTAAAAGTGAATTTATAATAAAACAGCCCTTCTGTAAAACATTCACGTGATGTTTCCTTTCAGAGTTACTTTTAGAATCGCAGGAAGTTGTTAATGTTATCAATGAGCTTAACTTTAACACAACGAGTCGTCAGTAAAGGAAAGAGTCCAACATTTCAGTCCAACAAAATCCAGCCTGAATCAGCTGTGCACTGGAGTACTTAGTAAGGACCACAGACCACAGCTTGAACATCCTGAATCATCCAACAATATTTTTGTTGTTTCAATGAAGGATTTCGATGTTCCAAACTCTAGCTTCTACAGACAGCTGTTAGCCTTGACATTTCTAATCCTATGTGATGATGCTATAACATGCATGCTGGTGGCCCGGTGTCTCACCATGTGTGTACTGCACCAGAGTGCTGCTTGTGTGACATTTTTATTTATTTTTTTATTTTTTGCTTTAACTTCCCTTTGAAGTTCTGTACCCTGATTTGTGTGCGTTCTTTAAAAGTATCCTCTGCTTGTGTACCTGCAGAGGAACAAAAGAACTCTTTGTGCTGGCTGTGTAGAAGGGGATAAACCCAGTTAAGTCACCCTTTCAGTGATCGCCGTTTAGACAGTGATGAGTGCTGGATGCTGACTCAGCGGTCCGGGTAAAGCCATGTTACAGAATCCTGTGTCAAAGTCAGATTTTTTTTTTTTGGTGATTTCTGCTCCCGTGCGTGTGTCTTTACGTGCAAATATTAACTGTGAGCGTGGGTCTAAATCTCAGTGGCGGTGATTTCCTCAAAGTGAATGTCGTTGCTGCCACTGTGAACCTCATAGTCTTCAATGTCCCGGTTCTCCAGCTCCAGACTCAGCTCTCTCATCACCCGCTCAAGATCCCGGTTCCTGCGGTACATCTGGATGTAGTTCTGCTGCAGCTGTTTCTGGTATCGGATCACCTACGAAGGTCAACAAGAACAGACGGTGCTCATGTGGTGTAGAAGATATGGTTATACATATGGTTGCAGAGTAGAAGAATCAAAGTCCACTGCTGGTTTTGGAAGTAGCTCTGAATGCACCGACACCTTCATGGTTTTCTTCAATATCCTGCTCATTTTGTAATTCACAAACTCGTATAAAAGAATGTAAACCATAAATTTTAACACAATTGTATAGGTACTTTGATTAATTTTTTTATCTCAGATGATATGGTATATTCTCTACTTAAGAACAAAAATGAAAACATTAAAGATACAAAGAAAAATAATATTCTATCTCTTTTATACCTTCTCCTTTTCTTCCTGCCACACCCTCCTCTCGTCCTCAAACCGGGAAAGGTGCTCCTCACTGGTTCTCCTCTCATACATGAGTTCAGCCTTCAGTCTATCCACCTGACAGCACAGAAATGCAAAATTAAAAAATCAGTTGACAACAGTATATATATATAGTGGAAGTGCAGAATAGAACAATAGAATATTTTTAGATACTGCAGCCTGTTTTTAAAGTGTTGTTACTATGAAATAAAGTACTTGAATACTGAGTAAATACTGTATGAACTGTATGTCTTTTTTTGAGCCACAAAGCGTTACTATGAAATAAAGTACTGTATGTCTTTTTTTGAGCCACAAAGAACAGTACCTGCTGCCTGAGTGACAGAACTGTTTCTGTGTTCTGCCTCTGAGCTTTGGCTTCGTCACTCTCTCCTCCCCACATCACGTACTGCTCCTCCGCATCGCGGTACACAGAGGGACTAGGACCGCCCCTTCCTGCTACTCCTCTAACGTGAGGGAGAGTCGGGTTCATGCAATGTCCTTTCACAAATGCGTTCCCGGGCAGAGAGTGTCCACTTTGATTGGATGCAGTGTCCCTGAGTCGAACTGACTCCTCCTCCAAACGGCCCACCTTCTCCCGCAGGAGCTCAGCTTCACTCTTGCGCCTCTGGAGTTCATTTTCACAGACTTCCAGTTCAAGGGAGCGCGTTCGCAAACATGTCTGGGCCTCCTGAGATCGAGCCTGGCTGGCCTGCAGCTCAGACCGGGCTTCTCTGAGCTGAGCCTTCAGAACAACGATATCTCCAGCCTTCTGACTCAGCTCTGATTGGATCTCCTTCAACTGCTGTTTGAGGAGAGAGATTTCCCCCGACTTCTGACATACCTGAGGAGAACAAACGGCAGAGAAATGAATCCGATTTGTACCAAAGAAATAAAAGAAAACTAATTTTGCAGCTTTGACCTCTTGACCCACCTCCCACTTTGTCTCCTCCAGACGTGGCCCGAGCTGGGTTTGCTCCCTCTGAATAGTGGCACACCTCCTTTCCAGTGTCTCTCTGTCTTGGAGCAGAGAGGAGTAGTCCTCCTGCAGCTTCTTCTTCTCCTGCTGCAGCTGGAACACCTGTTGAGGAGTTCAACAGTCAAACAATGACAGGATTTTCTGGAGACATGACTTTAGATGACTAGAGATGGGAATTATCCTAAATGCCTGATCTCTTGATTTTATTTTGCAAAATAAATAAAGTGTCTTTTCATTTCTTTTATTCTGTTATTCCGAGGGGTATAGCAAATAAATAAAGTGTCTTTTCTTTTCTTTTATTCTGTTATTCCGAGGGGTTTCAGATCGCCTGACATACCTGTAGCTGAAGCACCTGCTGAGCCCTCTGGGCCTTCTGTGAGGTTTGCTTCATCTTGGTGGCACAGCTCTGTCTCAGCTCCTCCATCTCTCTTTCACAGCGACGCTGCTTCTCCTCGTACACCTTTTCAGTTGTCAGGAATAAAAGACTTAGGTTACACTTGTTCTTTTTACAAGCCCACTTTGTCAAATGCGTTCAGTCAAACGTCTCGTCATCCTACCTGGCAGATGGCTGCTTCATTCTCATCCAGATTTTCCCGCAGCTGCTGGAGCTCCAGATCTCGTTCCCTCAGCTTCTCCTCCAGCTCCCTCACCACTACCTCATAGCCCTCCACCGGTGGTGGGGAGTGACCACAAGACCCACTGTCTGACAAGGGCTGCCCGCGCCCACTTAATGACCCTGAGCCTGTGCTCTTGCTGGATGAGGAACGTCCACTGTCCGAGTTTGAATGACCATGGCTACCGTTTCCACCTGAAACGTTACGGTTCAGGCCAGTGACCGGCTCCATTTGACCTCCAGACCCCGACCCGGAGCTGGAGCCCTCGCTGGGAGCCAAACTGAAGCCGGTGCTGCTGTGAGTAGGGAGGCTTGAGAGGGAGTTCCTCCCTGAGTCGGACATGGAGCAGGACTGGCTGCTCTGGGGGTTCCGACCACCACCGTAGGAACTGTGTTTTCCTTCAGAACTGTAACCGCCATTAACGTTCGTGCTGCTGGCAGCGTTAGCCTCCCCAAGTGGTAGCAGCAGGTTGAGACTTGCTTGGCTCTCTGAAATAGTGCCGCCCCCTGGTCGTGAGGGAAGGTACTGCACAGAGTGACGATTCTTGGGAACAACGGGTTTGAATGCTGTAGGCCGGATCAGTACTTTCTCCATGTTCTACCAAAACAGAAAAAAAAAACATTACCACATGATCGTTTCGAAGACTGGTGTATGGAGTAATGTTACGTTAAGAGGTGATTTAATGGGTGGTAAATGCACTCATTTGTGGAATGATGTGAAGTTGTGGAAATGCAGTTAAAGGATTGCAGAACACTCATTATACAGATATATATATATATAT